ACCGTTTCCATTGTAAAACGCATGCAATAAAAATAACACGGGTGTTTATCTACTAAAACGGCAGAAATAAAGATAATTAAAGATGACACGTGATTCGGAATTTACAGTTCTGCAGGCGTAAAATTTGGAAGATTTACACGTAAATACCTTAACTAATTATAAAATTGGGTAGGACGCTGGTGGGTCCTTTTATCGCGAGGTATCCGTGCGAGAAAGTAGTGTTACGTCGACCTTAAACGAACAATGGGAATACTCTTTACGTATCGGAGGGAGAAATCTCGAATTCATTCACAATTCTAAATTACAGGGTGTTAACAAATGTCAAGATTTGTATAAAAATCTGTACGGAATCACCCCTCTTTCCTGTGACGACACACAAGGGAAAACAATTAACAAATGGCAAAATAAAAGGAAGTACAGTAAAACCTGTGTATAGCGGAATTGCACGGTAACGAATCTTTTCCCGGTTTGGCAGGTTTAGTTTATTCGGGGTTCCTTTCTGGACAGGTTTTACTGTATCTAAAGGCCATTTTTATAAACAAACGACATATGTAATGCGATGAAATCCCGGTATGCAAGTCGTGCACCCGCCCAAAGGAAGAATTTTGAGTCAGACGGAAAATATTGCACTTAATAATCTGGGTGGAAACACTAACCTACATCTTTTGGATTCTAAATTGTAAGATCTAACAGTTGTTTCTACATAATTTTGAAGACGGTCGGAGAATAATGGAGGAAGCCGATCAGCCTCAAAGGTAAGAACGAAATAAGAGGGGAAGATTTTGGAGGATCTTGGAATGTTAGTTTCATGTGGAAAACTGAAGTAATTACCCGGTTGGAGGCACCAAACGAGATGACAGGCAGATAAAACGAAGAAACAACGAAACAAATATACGAGTAAGGGGTCTTTGCTTGGCATTGAGATTCTCCTATAAAGGTTTACAAGGGTTTTCACTACTTGGAAACTCGGATCAACCCGTGCATTCTAACCTACAGAGTAATATTGCTTGCTGTTACTTTTATTTCCTCGGCATTTGTTACGTATACATAACAGCGACCCTCAGAGTTTTTTTCAATTCTACACGTTTTGAGACCACTTGAAATCCATAAATGTAAAAAATTTCCATGGGTGTGTGTGTGTGTGTGTGTGTGTGTGTGTGTGTGTGTGTGTGTGTATTTCGCTTAATATCTCAGGATGGGGTAAAGATTAAGAAACGAAATTTGGCATGTTGGCTTGTCTATGAGGAGCATTGATGCCATTAAATTTTGGTAGTAAAAGGTCGAGAGGGTGGGGAGATGGGGAGGGTCATGTAACTCGAGAGGGTAGGACTTAATGAAGATTTTATTCGTTATTAACATTTACACTCTTTTATAAAACTCGCACCAACCTTCAAAATTAAACTTATTACCATTTAATAGTAATTAAAAATATAAAGAAGTGCTTTATAACAAAATCCGATAACAGATGGTGCCACACACAATTTTATTTTTGCTTAATAACATAAAAGTTATTTTTTACAATAATAAATCTTTCTGAAAATCGGACTCGAATTTGAATTTCTCAAAATGGCTGTCAAAGTTAATTCGCTCGTGTCAAAAACACATTTTACCAAGGGGGAACATTGATGTGTGTTACAGGCACGGCCGCCATCAACATTTGAATGTCATTTAGGGTCAGAATTTCACGAGGGATTGATTACCGAAAGATTTTATTGACCGTCCTGAAATAGTTACAGAGTTATGAGCGTTACACATTCTTTGGGTACATTCTACATTCTGTTGTAGGGTTGTTATGTGACTTTCTTTCCCACCCCGTAGATTAAGCTAGGACGATTTAAACTTTTCAATTGTTTAATGCGTGTGTCTAGATACAATGTGAGGATGAGACAATCTCCATCCTCACTCTATGTAGACACTTGTAATCAAATTATTCATCTTAATTATGTAAAGTATAACTAACTACTTTTTCAGACAATTTTCCTCACTCCTGTGGCTGGCATACAACACTGGAATTTCATATATTTCTTCTATAAAGAAATAACGTGTTTTGTTTGGTTATATATTATTGTTTCTACAAGAAATGCTTAAGTTATGCGGATATACAAAAACACGATATCGGATTTCGATCCCACGTATCTGGTTCGAAACAATAACTCCAGATACGCCTTCGTTGGAGCATATAAACTGTAAACAATTCGCAGGTAAAGGTCGAATGCTACACCCAGATGGAGAGATAAAAAAAATTAATCACCTTCAGATCAAGGTCACCTAAATTTAACATTAAAAGTTTTACTAATTTCAGAAAACGAATTACTATTGAACGCAAGGTGACGACGAAAATTAAAATTTTTGCCATTATGAAGAACAAGTCGAAGAATTCCTTTGTGTCTGTTCCCACTCTTATCCCGAATATGTTAAAAAGATCGTACTGTATCAACTGTTTCCTTGTATCAAATAAATGTGTACTTGATTAACACGTTAGATCTAATGCCTTGGATAATTCAGACAATATGCTGTTTTACTATACAAAGAATCCTATCCTATTGGCAAAAGGACAATTGTCCCCACTATCAATGGGCCCCAAACTAATCTTTCATAAGAAAATATTTCCTGAAGTCAACACTGTAGTGCAAAGCCCTCTAGTTCAAATCTGTCTGGGCACCGTGAAACTATAATGCACCACTGGATATTATGGCTTTGTGGTGCCCAGATTGTCTGATCTAGAATAGTGATACTTATGTATCCCTTCAAAATTAAACAGATTTTTGGCAGACTCTAATGTCAGTCTGCCTAAAACAATATAATGTCAGTCCACTAAAACAATATAAAATAGGTAAATGCCCACATTTACCTATTTTATATTGTTTTAGTGGATATTTTATATACAGTGTAAATAAGGCATCAGTTAATGCAAACAGGTGTAGTATTTTTTAATTGTTATCTATTCTATATATATATATATCTTTTTGTGATTTAATTTTTTGAATATTTTCTATTGATGACGGAGAAAAGTTTTATGAAGTGTGTTCGCAAGAGTCTACAGACCTACAGTTTAATTAAGAAACACCAAACTAGATCTATTTTCTGTCATCTGAAATCTCCAAATCCTTTAAATCTTCTGAGGGCTTGGAAAAGTTTTCTAGACTTTAAAGTATTGAATAAAATATTCCATGTGGACCAGGTGATTGCCAAATTGTCTGTCTTCTATTGAATATTATTTGTTAAAAAATCAATTGTTATTTGACGTATGCAGATGGACCATTATGGTTTTCATACGTCACTACTTTTATATCACCTATTTTATTGAATTTTCTATTTATAAAAACCATAAAATGTTATGTTTAATAGTTTAATATTGTGAAAATTTCTTTATAAAAATTTTAAGATTATAAATTAATGATTGTTTCGCAACTGTCTGGCTGTCTTATACAACATAATTACTGACCCAGCAGATGTATTTACAATAGGAATACGTCAATAGATGAATATTTTTGTTTTTAAGAATCAGCGACACCAACAAAGATTGATCATGTTATGCTATTCATCATCATGCTATCATGCTCTTGCTCATGATTGATCATGCTATTAGCAAGCTGCTGCTACTTACAGTTTAAATCTATAGATTAAACTATTGTATGATCAATAACAAGCTTCAAAATCTATACTTCCTGTCAATAAACGATATGCAAAATTATATTAAAAAAAAATCAATATTCGAGTCATCATTCATGGAGAGTTTTAATTTAATTTATAAATAAATTTTAACTTTAATTCTAGAATGATTTGTTAAATGAAATAGCGAGTGCATTAAGTGCAAGCCTTTATTAATCTATTTCTAAGGTTTTTGTAGATGAATACATAAAGAAAAACTTAAACTTTTTAAAGTAATATTTACTTAAAGATGTTATTTTTATTCCAGAATCAAAAACATATATTTTATGGTTGTCTGTAAAGCAAGTTCACTTATTTCGTAACTTCTTTACTGTGCATCATTCGAAATATCAGAATAACTATGACTGGATTAAAAATGAAACAATACATTCTCAAAAATTTGTAAGTTATGTAATATACAAAAATATGCAATTCACTAATTATTATTATTATGAAGAAAGACAAGAAGAATTTTTAGTACGCAACAGGAACTGGCTTTCTTTTTTTCCAAGATTAATGTTATATTTAGTTAATTTTTTTTAATTAAATGATCTAAAACTTATACAAGGCATTCATTATTATTAACTATTTTGTGGAAGAAATTCTATGTAAACAATTCTCTTAATAATAAAGAACCTGATATTACACCATTAAAAATACCAACAAACATCTGCAGGATATAAAATCTATAATGCAACTATATGCATATACGAATACAAAATGTGTAAATTTGTGGCCAGCTGTATTGTATTAAAAGATGGAAACTTCAAAAAACCTTTTCTACTACATGCTGAAGTTAAAAAAAAAGTGGCAGAAATTACATGCCCAACTACAGTTTCTTTTGAAGTGCAGAATGCATAACATTGTTCCTAAGTGCATCTCGCTTGGGTACAAGGCATTTCCACTATGTCTATGAGGGAAGCTTCCAAATGTGGAAAAATCTCTCCTTGCAAAGCTGATTAGGAACAAATGAAAGTGCCTTCAGAAGTCAAGCTTAAGTTCTATGTGGAGCATCTTCAGTTTACCAGTGTTGCTCCACCACAATCACTGAGTCAGTGTCCACGTGAACCATGGAGAGTTGTCAGTGTGCCACTCCATGCATCTGTCCCCAGAGTTAGGTGGCGAGAGGTCTGACAGAATGATGGAGAGTGCCAGTGGAGGACCCTGACCCAAACTGCCAGTTCCAATTTTGTGTGCTCAATATTGTCCTGTCATTGGAGGTCCAACAAGATTTTACCAGTGGCATTCAAGCTGGTGGCCCTGGGTGAGGTGTTGTCACCCTAGTAACCATCAGGGCAGGCAACGATGGATGAGAATTACTGCAGGAAACTGCAGTAATTCTCATCATTATGAAGAACCAAGTGGCCAAGTTTAATGATTTGAGATTCGTGGGAAGGAGTGGAAGAGGAAAGAGCTTCACTCTGACAATCACAATCAGCATTGGTCCTCCCCAAGTGACCACCTATGTCAAGGCTATCAAATTGAATGTGGACGGACCCAGAGAACCCAGAAATAACACCAGGCATCAGCAGTTGTGGGCTTTTGCTAGTGCCTTCAGTCACTGTTTGCCATATTTGGGAGACCTACTATGGGACTGGGACCATCTATGTAGGAAGGCAGTGGAACAATAGGCTGCTGACATACACCGGAGATTGCTGAACCAGGGACTGAACCAGGGACAAGATCAGACTCAAGCTCTTCATCTGATCTGGCTGTGGTTGTTCACCATGGGGACTTTACAGATCGCATTACACAACTTACATGTCCTCTACACAAGGTTTGCCAGCCACTGCCTTCGCTGCATCACACTCTATCAAAGGAAATCCCATATCATCTGCTCCCAATTGTCTACAGGCATGGACAGGAGCAACTCCAGTGTTTTCTCATCTCTATCAGAGGGTCCACTCCCTCTGAAGGATTTGATGGTAACAACTTGATACATCAATACCATAATGCAGAGATATGCTTAATGGACTGTCTGTCTGACCTCAGACTCAGATTAGGAGGATTGAGTTATGCTCATCAGCCTGCAACCACCATTACAGTATCTCTTCTATCGGCCAACAACACTATGCCCTATCTGTCTGTCAGTCACAGTCTCCTGGCAGGACCCAGATACTATGGAAGCAATAATGGAGTATATCTGACCCCTCTCATATTGCCTTCATCCCTCATCTATCCTCAGCTCAATGGCAGCATGTCTCATCACCCCTTCCACCTGTTGGGTTTCTCTGCAGTCACATCTCAATTGAGAAACTGAACAACCTCCAAGAGCAAAGGAGAGAGGGGTGTATTGGAGCAACAAGAGAACAGGAAAGAAAGATCACACAGATTTGCATTGACCAACAGACAATCAGATCACCTTTGGAGACCTTACTGATTCTTCTAGTTTCATTGGCCATCTTTGTCAGTTACCTTTTTGTATATAAATTAGGACATAAAAAAAACTTTTAAATATTTATGAACAGAATGTCAAGAGCTGCCAATCCAGTTGCTGTGTAAGACGAAATTCTATCCTTGCAAAGAATTTTAAAATAAAATAAATAAATAAAAAACAATGATCTAAACACAAACGAAGATCGAAGAAGGTCTCGAAGAAGACGAAGAGCCGAGTGAAGATGGTGTACAGTGCAAAGCATAATCTTTTCTAAATGGTATTTTGTATGATATGGACCAATATGAAAAAAAAATATAATAAATAAAAGTGATTTTTACTGTCTATACTTTATGATCAGTGGGTAAAATACATAGTATAGCATCCAGTGCTAAGCAAGTTCTACAAAAGAAATTAGACAGTAAATTTCAGTGGTTAGTAAGTTTGTCGTGCAGACAATGCAAGTAGTACCCCATATTATAATTATACAGATGAAGACATAACTGCCGCAGTACATGGAATTCTACAAAGACCTAAATATACCCACCTTCTAACACCAACCTTTGCCAATAGGTTCCATCCTCATTAGCAGTAAATAGATTTGCTGAAGTGTGATTTTATATACTTTTGTGATCTAATGAACAAAGCTCTAGAACAGGGGTGTCCAACCCGCAGCCCGCATGCAGTCCAATAAATGTGTAAACAAAACCGACAAATTGTTTTATTTTTTGTTTATTTATTTATTTCAACGACATAAACTCAAAGAAGTTTCACAAAGCCATAAACTTTTATACGTATTTTATTTTTGAGTGAAAAGGAAATAGTTTCAAATACTTGACGAAGGAATACTAAATAAAGCTGAAGTTGTGACTCAAAGGATTATAGACCCAAATTTGAGAAAAGGAGAGAAAGACCAAAAGATAAAAAGTAGTGAGAAAGGTTAAATAGACCTTCTGTTAAGCAAATGTTGACCCTTAATTTTCCAACCTTCCTCATTACTTTTTATCTTTTGTTCATTCTCTCCTTTTCTCAAATTTGGATCTATAATCCTTTGAGTTCCAACTCCAGTATTATTTAGTATTCTTTCCAGCGTTGCAAGACTTGGTTATTTTGCGCCAAATTTGGCTATTCTTTTTTTAGTTTGGTGTAAAAATTATCATTTTGCACATTTCCTACATTCTGGGATACATATTATTTATAAATATATTAGTCAAATAAAAATGCACTTTAAAATGGTGTTTCATCGTTTTTTATTAATTAGAGACCCAAATAAAACAAATATTTGTGTTTTTCAAGTAAATTTTTGTTTGACTCCTTTATAATAGATGAATTTATTTATTTCTATGTAAAAATTGGAAGTCTGTAGAAGTAATTTTTTAAAATATTCTTTTTCGTGTTAAAGTTTTAATACTTATTACTCTAGACATGTTAATCCTTAAATATACAAGTATATTTAAGGATTGGGTCTCAAATATATTATATATACGTGTGGCCCAGAGGAACAAAAAGGTTGGACACCCCTGCTCTAGGATAATTATGTTCTATGTAATCTATATTAGATTAATAATACTATATATATATGCAGATCATCATCTCATTGAATTAGATAAATGTGTACCATAGCACATTAGATTTAATGTCTTGAGTAATTCAAAGACAAAATGCTGTTTTACTACACGATGAAGCACTATCACACATCCGCGTAATGCAATACTATTATATCCACTACTAGAAAACACAACTGCCTGATAGACAGATTGGTCTAGAATGGCAATACTTGCCAATCCCATGTTTACCTATGTGAGACCCTGGAAATAGCCCCTCAAAAAAAGGAAAGATACGTAAAAATTTGTTATGTTAAATCGTCAGGAAAGCAAATTATAAGTGTCGAATCGGCGACACCCGACTTTGACGTCGACGCTCATCAAAAGTTGACAGAAAAACCAAATTTTAGATATAAAAAGAAGAAAATTTAAAATATTAAAAGTTAAGACGCAGTTTAGAAAGCAAAACGAAACTACATAAAAAAAATGTCTAGATGAGTGAAGGTGTCATAGTCAACAATTAAACGCGATCAGATTCGAAAAGATGGTGTCGGATAAACCATCTCCAGCCGACCTTTTCCACGAACTTAACGAAGCTCCATTTACACCTAGAGACAGGTGGATGACCAATTGGAAAACAGTGATATAAGATCTATCCAATTAGTAAGAAGCTGATCGCAAAAACCCTATAAAAACGCAGAATTCAAAGACAACAAGACTCCCACTAAGACTTTTTCACCTAGACTACCTGTTGTGTTCGTTTGTCGACAGCTATCGTGTTTTTTTCATCTTTTGTGTGCTGTCACTGCAGATCTCGAACTTCTCACTCGACGCAGTTCACGGGGCCCCTCCAGCATAGGACCAGATCGATACCGAAACCAACTTACGAAGACAGCCCGAAGTTCTGAACTTAAGCACCTTTGCCAACAAAAATTATGTAAGCATTATCGTCCGGAATAAACGGTTTACCTTTGTAAACACTTGTCTTTGCTGCCTATAAAAACCGCCACCCACATACGCTAAGACCTTAGACCATCCCGATGGTAGGGAATAAAAATCTCTCCCCCAATCGGCGTTCTTACAATAGTTAGGGATACGGGAAAGAAAAATGTTAAAAAACAAGGAAAAAGGGTAAGATTTTCAGGGATTTCTTTATTTTAATTTGTTATTTGGACATAAAACAATCTAAGACATTTAGTTTTTATATATAAAATGTCTACAGTGTGGCCATAAACACCTTATGCACGTGATTGTCTTTGATTTCTCATTTAAAGACTACATAAGAATCTCGGGGTGATTGACGTCGACCCTTATGGGTCAATAAGTCATTTTGGGAATCGATTCATTAAAAATTAGGTACCAAAACTTATTAATGCAATGAGTTTTGTACAAAATATGATAGTTCAGAATGATGTAAATTTGCACACTGTAAGTAGATCTTTTCTATGAAAACGGTGTGTTGATTAACACTAACTCACCAGATGTATTATTATCATTATTATTGTTGTTAATAGCATTAGCAAATCGAAAATGGGAGTCAATTGGACATATCGGGAGATACCTACGGTGCTGGCTCACCAGTGACGAAGTGGTTCCATTCCCTGAACGCTGGGAGTTCAGTAATGGGTTTGCACCTTGCCAGGATGGGCTGGCCTGGAGTTTTCTGGGTTTTCTCCA